CTCAAAAAAATATAGCAAGCTGTAGTTACCAGATATATTTCATAAGATCTATAACCAAATTACACATCCTGTTGTGCTAATGACCTGTATGTGTCTCTATGCAGTGGCTGTAATTGCAGTTACTTTATGTACTCTAGCGAGCTGGATTATACTCTCTGAGTCTGAGCATGGGAACACTCTAAACTCTCTAAAACACCTCATTGTGTTTGTGCGACAGATCCAACCTGCCTTGTCTTGCCTTAATCTGGGTTGGAAAAGAGGTTGTTTCCCTATTATAGACTAATACATATTAATGATAAACAATGGATGAAATACAAAGTCAAATCTCTTTCCTACCACAAATGTTAGTGCACTATGCATATAAATCCCAGGAGCAGTTCAACCAAAACCATTATATTTTTAGATACCTCAAGAAATGAAAGTATCCAGTATTTCACAAGAAAAAGCAAAAATAGGAATGAATACAGAAAAAGTAAACCTAATTCTGTGTGCCAAACATTGTTAGTTCTTGCATAATCTCGCCACCTTTCCAGAAAGAAGTCTCAGGATACTGACACTTCCTTCTGGGGTCCCCAACCACAAGTTAGGAACCACTGCTCTAAACAATGCAAGCTGAGAGAAAAACAGACTAGATTCTTGTTGATGCGCTGTACATGAGTTCAGTGCAGGCACAGAGCAGTGCAGAGTGCAGTGGAGCACATGGGGGTCTTCGTAGGAGCTTTATGCATCGGCGCAAGCACATCAGACCATTTACGCCCACATGAAGCGATAAGTTCTGCTGAAAATCTACCCATTAGTGTGCAGCCAAAAGTGAGCTTTAGTGAGTTCTAGTTCTCCTGTGAGTCTACGTGTAAAGCTGGGCCCAATTCTGCCTTCTATTACAGTGCAGTATTACAATGTCAGTGCAGTCACACGCAAGCCTGAGTCACGGTACGAGTGGAGAGCGGTGTGTAGTGCTAAGCTTAGTGTGAAGCTAATGGCAGGACCTGCTGTGACAGAGAAAAGTGAGAGTCCAAGTGAGTCTGACAGTGAGTAACGACTAAAGAAGAGGACGGTATGAGGCACGCGTCACAGCTAAAAAGGAATTCAATTAGACAAACGTGTACTGAACCAACCTTGCACTGATTCGGATTTAACCATCAAAACAAAAGCAACTTCTCGTTTTAGTTTCCCCCTCTCCTCTGCTTTTCTGTTGCTTTTCATTACTGCGTCAAGGCTGTCTCTTTTATTGAGTGGTGTTATGAAACCCATCTACATTCTTAACTACCTCTCAGGTGAGTGTTGGGGACAGGGAAAGGTGCGTTACCATGACAACCAAGTCAAAGGAGGAGTCGACTGACTTTTGACGTGAACAATTGAGTCTGGCGAGGAGGAGGAAGAGGACGGGGCAGAGGAGGAGGATGAGTAGGAGGAATACGAGTGAGCATGAAAGACTGCAGGTCTGCCTGCACTGAGGAGGCCTTTCGCTGTAAAGCATAACTTCTTTTGTGCTCTTTTGTTTGTCTTTCCTTTAATAGCAAGGCTTTTCAAACAAATCAATGCTGTTATACAACAGGTAGTTAGAGAGCTCCCTCCTCCTGCCAACAGAAGCTCCCCGCTGCATTAGCAGCTACTTACACATTTTCATTCTACATTTTCCAGCAGAATTACATAACCCAAAGATGTTGTCCAAAGATTAATGTGGAAATGGCAAAACATGAGAACTCGAAGGGTTTTTTCAAAGATATATGTTTATTCATCTATAGTTGAAGAGGGGTAACTCAGGGCAATTTGGAGCTTTTTGACTAAGGTCTTGGAGAACAGAAAATAAACAAATTCCAAAATACCGCCTCTCATAGATTGGATACAGTTTGTAAGCTTTGATTACCCAGAAGGCAGCAGTAGGGTAAGTTTGCTTTAATGGTAAAACTCCAGAAACCCATCAATAGTATCCGTCAGTGTGGACTGAAGTGGGAGCTGCACCCTGGATCTCATCCTTTCACCACCACCAGGAGACACAAACTCAGAATCAGTGGTTTGTGTTCGCTGACTCTCAGCTTAATAGTTGGTGGTGTGCTTATCCACAAAAGCCAGCAAAAAAAGTTCCTCAAGTACGAGATTAAATACACGCTCCCTAAGGTCATCTGAGCTGATAAATCCTTTCTACCAGAGAAGCAAAAGCCTGGACGGCATTAATACCACACACACACACACACACACCACCACCCAAACCAAGAACACAAGACCTCTGTACATGTATGTAAGTAGTGTTAAGTGTCATGTTGTTTTCATATTTTTGTGTGTGTGTTTTGTAGAATACAAAGTAGACCTTGACTGTTATATTGGCAGCCAACATAAACTTATTAGTGACATAATTACAGTAAGTACATACATTTTTTTAAAGCTGCATTTATTGATTTTTATTTATGTATTATGCACCATTAGGATTAATTTGGATTATAAGTCCCTGAATTTAGAATAGAATTTAAAATCCTCCTCCTCACCTACAAAGCTCTTCATGGTCAGGCCCCTTCATATCTTAAAGAGCTCATAGTACCCTATTACCCCTCTAGAACACTACGTTCTCTGAATGCTGGGCTACTTGTGGTTCCTATAGTCTCTAAAAGTAGAACAGGAGCCAGAGCCTTCATTTACCAAGCTCCTCTCCTGTGGAACCAGCTTCCAGTTGTGGTTCGGGAGGCAGACATCCTCATCACATTCAAGAGTAGGCTTAAGACATTCCTCTTTGATAAAGCTTATAGTTAGGGCTGGATCAGGTGAGTCCTGAACCATCCCTTAGTTACGCTGCTATAGGCCTAGACTATCAGGGGATTTCCTATGATGCACTGAGCTCCTCTCTTCCTCTCTCTTTCTGCACTCATTCATGTCCCATTAATGCATGTTACTAACTTCACTTCTTCCCCGGAGTTCTTGTGCTTTCTCGTCTCGCAGGTTCTCATGGATCCTTATTATTATTATCATTATTATTGCTACGGTTACTGTTGTTGCTGTTGTTGCTGCTCATTGCCCCCCATCGTTGCTGTTGTCATAGTCATCATCTTCTTCATGTTCATCATCATCAGTCACTACTATTAGTTCTCTCTCTCTCTCTCTCTCTCTCTCTCTCTCTCTCTCATTACAGACAGTACCATTCACATTACATATGTGATTTGATCCATTGATACATAACATATTGAGTAGTGCAGCTTTAAATATAATTGCTTTCATCTTCATTTATTAATTTCTAGAAAGATTTCATTCAAAGTGAAAAAACTTTTCTTTTTTTTTTTATTTATTGTTATCTTTGATTGTAAAGTTAATTGACTGAACTGTGAATATCCTGCCCACACAGCCAACATGTATGTAAACGTTACGTGCAAAGTGACTGAAACTGACAAGTGAGCCAAAAAGCATTGCGAGCGAAGAAACACAAAGTCTGTCTCTGCATTAATAAACTCGCATTCACACTATTTGAGATATTTGACATCTAACAGCAGGGGTACAACTCCAAATCCAAATGGTCTCATTTAACAGGCTAATTAGAAAACATTTAACGAGAACTAAGAGGAAGCCTCATATTTCCCCAGTTTATATTATACAGAAGAAAATAGTGTAAACAGCCGTGTGCCCTAATTGATGCCACAACCTCAAGCACGCAGCCCATGTCAAACAGTAATAGTGAGTTTTTGTGTGCTTACAGTATCGATCTGATTGTTCCACACTAATTTGTACACACACATACTGTGTGTTCTCCACAAGTAAACAACGATTAACTTGCCAATGTCGATATTGATAAGCCACCTTACTGACACAAACGCCTTCCCCTGCTCTCTCGTTCTCTCAGGGTACCAGTCATCTGTTCTGTCAAAACGGAGATACGCAACACTGTGCAACATCCAAAGGGCTCCCAAGTGAGCTGGTTCGCATAATCCCAGCAGAACACACACACTAATCATACACGCACACGCACACACACACACACACACACACACACACACACACACACACACACACACACACACACACACACACACACACACATAGTGTCTCTTCTAGGAAAAATGATTCCAAGTACTGCGCTGAAAAGCTTCACATATTCTCTCTTTCCTTTGGCTACGATTTCTGGCTAAAATTGGACCTTTCTGCTTTCCATACACATCAATTTACAACAGCTGACAAGAACAAGTAGGACACATATCATTAAGAAATGGCGGTGACGCATATGGACACATATAATCACCTTCAGAGTGCAGAAGTGGACACTGGACAACCTGTCATCAGCCTTGACACTGTGAGTGTTTAATGAGGATTAAATGAGGCCTGCTGCAGTACAACATACGTCCCTTGAACAATTTGGTATCCAGGGGTCAATCTTTCTCTCTCCTTTCCATCACAGCCTGCTCTCTAACAGCATATTAACATTATAGATCAACGCTTGTCCACAGTGCTGCTCAGTTTTCAGGAGCTTCTCTGCTGCTGAGGCCTCTCTGGAGCCTCGTCTCTCTGTGCAAAACAAACGATCACTGCAGTCTGGAGAGCCCACAAGCACACACACACACACGCACACGCACACGCACACGCACACGCACACGCACACGCACACGCACACGCACACACACCTTTACAACAATGCTGGCAGATTAAGCAACAAGATGAATATATGACAGAGATGGGGACTCAAGTTTACTTCACTTTTTCACTGAAGTCACACACACAGTGACTTAAGACTCATCCTCAAAAGACTTGAGACATGACTCGGACTCTAGATGTGGGACTTTCATTTTTTTCCATATTAGCATTAAGGATTTGTCATTCCCTCCCTTATTATCATGAGTAACCATATAACTAATAAGAAGAGGCCTCAAAGTGTTGCCCGCTTCCTATCACCGCCCATGTTAACCAACTGGGCTGTTTAGGGTCGCGATCTGCAACAATAATTATATAAAATAAATCTTAAGTCTTATTCCCAATGTCATCAGTACAGAGTGTCCATTCACAAACACACACAAACAAACACTTACATCTCTGATGAAGTACTCCAGGGTGGCATAGGCGATGGCAATCCCGTCATGGGTGCTTGTGCCCCGTCCCAGTTCATCAAGGATGACCAACGAACGTTCGGTTGCGTAGGAAATTATCTCTGAGGCTTCACTCAGCTCCTCCATGAATGTACTGCGCCCTTTGTAGATGTTGTCTGAAGCCCCCATCCTGATAACCAATCAGACAAAGAAAAAAGAGAGGTCAGAGGTTGATTAATAAGGTGAGATAAAAATTAGGCTGACATCAGATTGCACATTTTGTTTCAGAGGCATTAATCGATGCAGTGACTTTCCTGAGAGACGAGGAAGACGACACGTTGACTCCAATCAATTTGTTCTGTACATACGTGATCAGTAAAGTACCAGGGACAGACTCAAACAACAAATGATTATGCATGTAATCATGAATTGATGAATCAAAGTGAACCTGGAGCCATTCATGGTCACTCTGCAGTGTAATTTGTCTTTTTCCTTCCCTTAGAAAGAGGGTGACTGTGTGGGTGTGATTAATTTGGTACAGCATAATGCTCCTGACCCAAAGGGGGATAGTCAAATGGTTACAGATTCACTGAAATTCAATAAAACCTAATTTCTCTTTTGCTTCACCATGTTTACAGCGCTCTGAAAGGCCAATGTTACTGAAGACATTGTAGAAGTTATGAAATAAAGCGAGAGAGGGCAAAACAATACGAACATGCTAATCTTTTTCGTGTGCTCCAGATGTTGCATCAGTTGTTCTCCACTAAGACACACTATGAGGGATAAAATGAGCCATGTTAACATGGATCAGGCCATTATTGGACCAACAATGAAGCTGTTTTGTTCTGTAGTCAGTTAAACTAAAAGTCTGATTCCTTCAAGGAATAAAATATTCCAGTTGAGATTTTTTTTATTACTTCCTTTATAACTCTATTTTTGAGCTCTTTCAATAAAATTACATATTTACTGTTGGCCTTAATACAATCATTGTTTGTGTGCAATAAAGTTAATTTCCTCTTTTTAAATTTTACCAAGCTATCTCACCTTTTGATAAACTCATCAATAAATAATGGATGGATCATTTATACTTAAAGCAACAATACAAGTTGTAAGTTGTTCGCAATAAGATGCAGAAGTGCCATTTTCAGGTAAACTGTGCATTAAACCATATGCCGAGGTCATGAAACAATAAACATTATTGTGAATACTAAAAGGCCTATCTGTAAACAGAATCATCTAATCATTTGGGTTGTGGAATAAATTGTTAGAATTCATGTTCATGCTTCCAGTCTTTAAATTATTTGATCTCAAACTTAAAGATATTTCACGAACCAGAAACCACCCACAGAAAGACAAATGGAGAATCTGCAGTTTTCAGTGAACCTGCTCCTATTCTTCTTCCAGTAGAACTACTTCCATACCATTAATAGGCAAAGAGACTGAGATGGAGAAGGAGGGGTGTGAAGAAAGTGAGAGAAAGTAACTATAACACCTTGAGATTCTTTATTAAACTGATCACGAGAAGAAGGAGGGTGTAAGTGATGGTGTGGTGGGGTTAAGTATAATTTTAACCTCTTGTAATGTGTCATACATGTCACAGTCTGATCTCTAGGCCTCAATATTAAGGTTTTTCAAAAAGGCCATGTTCCATTCATTACATTGTTTCCATGACTTGCGAAACTCTGATGCCATCTCAGGTTAATTGAGTTTAACATCCAGTTTATAAAATTCCTCCAGGTTTTCTTTTTCCAATTATTCTGGATTCATCACTCACCCTAAAGCATCTCAGATAGAAAACAGCAAATTAAAAATGATCAGCATTCCTGCAACACTCACATAGCCCAACAAATTTTAAAGAAAAAACTAAAAGCGCTATCAATTATTTATTCACTCTGCATCTATTTCCAATCAATGACTGTAGTTCTCACAAACAGAAGACAGACGCACTCTTCCAAATGTTATTTTATGTCTATGAACCTCATCAATATTAACAATCCATGCTTGCAAAATCTTGACGTGTGGCCAGCTTACAATACACTAAATGACCAAAAGTATGTGGACACCCGAATATTACACCCAAATGTTATTGTTGAATTTAAGAAGTACTCATGCAAACAGATTTGTTCTTATGTAGCACGTTACACGTACAAGGATTTTTTGCGTTAACCGACTTTCTCTTAGGTCTTAATCAAAATCCACGAGTGGTTGAGACCTGTTGTCGTTGATATCATGCACAGACTTTCATCAGTGGAAAAACACTGACCTAAAAATCATAGAGGTAATCTGAATGAATTCTGAGTTTAAACATGATACAGAAATTAACTAATATAAAATACACAACTAAGACAAAATTAATGTAAAATTAATATTCTTTTCACCATATCATCATCATCACCATCACTTTGCCAGTTGACTGAGTTTTCATTATGCAGGAGTCTGTCAGTATCATAAGATAAAATAGATAAGATAGACTTTATTGCTCCCACACTGGGGAATCACAGCAGAAGAGAAAAAAAGAAATACACATTAAATAACAAAATAAAACAGAAAAAATACAAGATCATAGCACCGACAGTGTAACATCAGGTACAGTAGGCTATAATGTTATCCCATCTAATATCTCTGTGACTCCCCTTGACACGCCTCGCACATTACTCATGGACCGCTTTGGTTCATAAAGATATTTAGCATCCAACCTTATGTTACATCATTCACTCTTTATACAGTATCTATCTCAGCACAGCACTGCTATGATGACACTTTGTTGACAGTTGTACTGATAATATCATTGTTCCCAGTCCTCTTATACCACCACACACACACACGCGCGAAGCTCTGCCGTGTGAAATTCTTATTTTTACTCTTTCCCACAAAAACAAAAGAGTAGGCAGCATTATATTTCTATTTTAAATGATTCAATTATGCTAATGATGAGATCTCATGCACGTGCACCTCCTCATGAGCAGGTGGCCTCATCAGGCTGAAACGAGCAATTTACACCAAGTTTGTTGAGTCTGATGTAGAACACAAAATAGTAAGAGAGGTTTAGGATAAGAATACAAAAATGTTCTTGCATGAGACTTAATGTGTAATGACAGACTGCACAGCCAAGAATGCACATAATGAATATACTGACAAACACATTTTAAGTTAAATTACGGTTGAGGGTGTTACACTGTCACCTGAGGAAGCAAACTTAAAGGCCAGTGACAGGAAATCAAAAGACAACAACAGTGGAACGAGACTAACATGTCCATGTCAATAGAAATTTACCAATTACAGAGATACAATGACAACATGTTGAATCCTTCACGAGCCTCAAAGCCAGTTTGAAAGCTCCTCTGATGCACCGATACAGACTGACAGACAGCGCAGTGACTCATCTGATAAAAACCCAACTCCAGCTGGATCGCAGATGCAACAGCTCTCTGCCAGTCAGTGTTCACCTCTAAATCTGTCTTTTCCTGTCCTGATTGATCCTCAGCATAGTACCTATCAATGAACTGCCTGACAGGAGCCTCCAGCTCAGGAGTTACCATGGTTACACCACACGCCATATAGGAGAGGGGTGTGGCAGACATGCTGCTGCATTTCATTAGTCAATTTATAGATTGTATGTGTGTGTGCATGCATGCCTTTATCTTAAATTATGACAATTCGATCTATACTGCGTGGATGAGAAGGAAGAGTGTTGTTCACACACTTTGTCTGTCTACTGATGAGGGGACGCACAGCAAAAACACAGCAACACTCCACCAGCTGGGTGTCCTGCTGCTCTCATGGAGTCCCTCCTTCCCGCCAAACAAAATGATTCTGAAAATAAAGTCCATTTATCATCACCTCACACCTCTCCAGAAAACATGTTTAGACACATTTCAAGTGTTTTTCTGACACTCGTGGTTCCGTTGTTTCTCTTGTTGATTCTCCAGTTGTTGGATTTTCTTATCACGTTATCACTCTACTCTAATCAATCAAAACACGGCTTTTGCCCAGATTTTCAAGAGCATAATCACTCTAGTTTTTTGGCAGAAAATCTAAATCCAACCCCTACCAACACTAATGAGAGAACTTACATGACTTTCAGAGTATGTTATTTACTTTGTTGTATTTCTGCTGCTATTTGATATGAAAGACTGACACAAAAACCTGACTCTTTAAAACTCTAAAATGGTGGCCGAGTTACATTCAACTCAAATAAACCAAATACATATAGAACACTGAGTGACAACATGAGCCTGAAAATGGCAGCAACATTACCAAAAACTGACACACACACGGAAAGTATTCAGACCCCTTTAAATGTTTCACTTTGTTTCATTGCAGCCATTTGCTAAAATCAAAAAAGTTCATTTTATTTCTCATTAATGTACACTCAGCACCCCATCTTGACAGAAAAAAACAGAAACGTAGACATTTTTGCAAATTTATTAAAAAAGAAAAACTGAAATATCACATGGTCATAAGTATTCAGACCCTTTGCTCAGTATTGAGTAGAAGCACCCTTTTGAGCTACTACAGCCATGAGTCTTCTTGGCAATGATGCAACAAGTTTTTCACACCTGGATTTGGGGATCCTCTGCCATTCTTCCTTGCAGATCCTCTCCAGTTCTGTCAGGTTGGATGGTGAACGTTGGTGGACAGCCATTTTCAGATCTCTCCAGAGATGCTCAATTGGGTTTAGGTCAGGGCTCTGGCTGGGCCAGTCAAGAATGGTCACAGAGTTGTTCCGAAGCCACTCCTTTGTTATTTTAGCTGTGTGCTTAGGGTTATTGTCTTGTTGGAAAGTCTGAGGTCCTGAGCACTCTGGAAGAGGATTTCTTCCAGGATATCTCTGTACTTGGCCGCATTCATCTTTCCTTCAATTGCAACCAGTCGTCCTGTCCCTGCAGCTGAAAAACATCCCCATAGCCTGATGCTGCCACCACCATGTTTCACTGTTGGGATTGTATTGGGCAGGTGATGAGCAGTGCCTGGTTTTCTCCACACATACCGCTTAGAATTAACGCCAAAAAGTTCAATCTTGGTCTCATCAGACCAGAGAATCTTATTTCTCATAGTCTGGGAGTCCTTCATGTGTTTTTTGGCAAACTCTATGCAGGCTTTCATATGTCTTGCACTGAGGAGAGGCTTCCGTCGGGCCACTCTGCCATAAAGCCCCGACTGGTGCAGGGCTGCAGTGATAGTTGACTT